GCTGGCCCTGGCTGTGGCACAGAGACTGGGAATGAGGCAGACCATCAAATCTATGTTTTTCCTAAGCCCAGTGTGTTTGCTCCCTGCAGCCTCCCCCTGCACCTCAGCCACCACGACTCACAGCCACACACCCCACTCAGGTTTGCCAACTCCACGAGTGGCACCACCAACCCACAGCCCCATCAAAAGGAGGGGAAAGCTCCAGCTCAGGGAAAGGTCACCAGTTTGGACGTTAAATGGTGATGACAACAATAACTGACATAAAACGCTGATGTTCACAGGTGCCCATATTTAATGTGTCAGCTGCTCCCTCCCCTCTCCTGCCCCTGGAATTGCCACAGCTCCCGTGGCAGTGGCTCCTCAGCCCGTTCCCAGTGGGAATGTCAGTGCTGCAGCCACAGCAGGCACCGTGTCCCACTCCAGGGCCCTCCTCCCCAGCAGCAGCTGCTCTGCACACGCCTGCACAAAGCCCTTTATGATACTAATTTACAGTACAATTGCCATTCACCAGCCAACTGCAACCAATTCCAATGCCTGAGGTGAGCTGCTGTGACAAAAAGGCAGCCCTAAAGCAGACATCAATAATTGTCTTTCAAAAGGATTGGTTTAGTAAAAAAAGAACCAAATCAACACAACCAGATTTCTGTTTTGCCTCTGCATCACTCCACCTCGTGCACTTAGGATAGTTTATATCTGCCATGATTTAGCCTGTTCCAAACACAAATATTCCTGGGAACCAAGGCTTGAGGAGGATTATTTCTGAATCCCAGCTTCACTCTGAAGTCAAGACACAATGACTCTCAATCTTACCCACACTTTGTGCCTTCTTTGCCGAGCTCCCACTGACCAAATCTTCAGGGCTCAGCAAAAGCACCTGAACTATTTTCATATTTTGCTTACAAGCTTTATTCTCCAAAGCCTTCCCTGGTGTTCAGGTTTCTTGCATTTCCTTCATTTTCTTGCACCACAAAATCCCACCACCTCCTAAGGAAGATCTCACTTTTCAATGTAACTATTTGCTTGAAAGCTAAAATACCTCATGTTAACAACCTTCTGATTTCTTCCCAGTTTCAGGACTTCAAACTGAAATAATGACACATAATACTGAGTAAGTTTACAAAGACATATATAAAAAAGCCTGTTTGTGTAGGGCAGAATCTCCCTGCATTCCCTGTGCCAGGAACTGGGGCACCAGTGCCTGCCCAGCCCCAAACCAACACCGTCCTGCAGCTGCTCCTAGGAGGGCACCTGGCCCAGGATGCAAGCAGGACAGAGGCAGCACACAGCCCAGGTGCTGCACCAGGGAGAACTCGGGCACAGGAGCCAGGGCAGGCTCCTGCAGGCTCTGGACTCTGTGCCCAAGCTCACCAATGGCCCCCAGGGCGGCGGGCACGGCCCCAGCCTGGCGATGAAGGCAGCTGGAACGGCAGCGATGTGAAAATACAGCGTTTTACTGAGCACCCAGACACTCAGAGAGCGGGAGCAGCCAGGAGGGGCTCCCGGCTGAGCTGGGCATGCCTGCAGCACTAGCTCCTCTTCCTCTTGCCCGGGGGCAGCGCCCCGCCGTCCTCATCCTCGCGGGCGCGCGGCCGCCGCAGCTTCCTCCTGCTCCCTGCCAGAGCCACGGAGCTGCTGTGGGGACAGAACACAGGGACACGGGTGGGCATGGCCCAGGCAGCACACGCTGCTGCTGTGCACAGTGCGCACGTGCTGCACACCTACGTGCTACAGGTGACAGGGAACCAGGGCATGGGTTGGGTGGGAAGGGACCTTAAAGATCATCTCACGCCACCCTGCCATGGGCAGGGACACCTTCTGCTATCCCAGGGTGCTCCAAGCCCTGTCCAGCCTGGCTTGAACACTTCCAGGGATGGGGAGAGAAATATTTCTCTGCCTTCTCATTTGAGGAAGGTGACAGCACCACAAATGATCCCATAGCCCCAGAGCCCGCTGGAACAGGGTCATCACAATGCCTCTCCTTCTGTCCCCAGAGACCAGCTTGGAACCCAAGGAACAGCAGCAACCTCCCAGATTCCTTGTCCATAACTGAGGACAACCCCTGGCACTGACAAAACCATAGGGATGTTCTATCAGAGAAGGCAGTTTGGGGCACAGACACCTGGAAGCAGGATGAGAGGTTGGTCAACGTTACCCCCAAAGGAGGGCTTGGGCCCTGCAGCCTTGCCAGGCACTCTCCTCATTTATGGACAAAGTATTTGCCACAGAAAACTCAACAACTGTTTTATTTTTAGTCACAGTTAATTTTAAATAAAAAATTCTTAAACTAGCTGTATGTAAATGAAGCAGCTGATTTCCGTCACTCAGCCTTGGAGCTTAAAATTCCACATAGTGTTGACATGAAAGATGCCACTAATCTGTCAACAGCTTTTGCTAATTAAACATTCCTTTTAAGTGCACTCTGTTTTATACCATCTGCTAGGCTGAATCCATCCTGCAGGGACTATTCATTTGTCTTAAAGTGGGAATTCACAACTGAAAATAACAATGGACAACTCTGAGATGCTCAATGCACATCTGCTGCCTGCCACCAGATACACACCAAGACACAGCAGGAACAAGCTGTGTTTCAGGGCTGCACCACGATGGAAATGGCTCTCCTGCATCCCTGGGAGCCCCAGCCATGGCCAGGCTGGTCCGTGTGAACCCCAGCAGGCAGATCCAGCTGGGTTTGGTGCTGGCACTGAACCCACGTTCCCACAGCACCGAGGGGCCTCCTGCACCCACGGCCTCTCCAGCTCCCCCAGCCCCTTCACGTGGCTTTTCATGTGGGAAACACAAACACGATTCGGACTTGCAGACACTGAGATTTTAACAACCAAGACGTGCTCTTCTAACCTCAAACAGAAGTAAATCAAAACAGATGCTCAATTCCAGTGGGTTCAACTTGTCAGCCTCACCTACAGCTCTGTCAACAATGGAATTTTCAAATGTAATAGAAGATCAGATTTAATTTTCCATAACAAAGCAGTCTCCTCTTCTTTTTTTTTTTAATTAAAATATATAGTTATATATCCCTTGGAATAAAGATATTCAATTGGGCATCTGTGGATTCTTGGAGGAGCCAGGGATCATTTTTCAAGGATCCACATACACTGACCAAATTGTGCTTCCCAGAACTTTGGGGATTCTTCAATAATCTGACCTTCCTGAGGCATTTGCTTCTCCAGGATTCCATCAACTGCAAGCTACAGACCTGAATCCACCCAAGGACTTCAGCTCTTGGCTCTCCTACTCACCTGTCAGAGGATGCTGAACACGTCTCAGACCCTTCTGTATCTGCCAGAATGTCCGAATTGGTGCTGAAGGGGAAAATAAAATGGATGGAAATTATTTCAGCAACACCTACAGCAATGCAGGGCTCACTTGGCAATGGAGCAGAACCCCTGGATGACACAAATTCCTCCAGTACCAACAGCAATGAGAAATAACACTGACCTACAGCACAGTCCAGCAGCTTCTGTCTCACTTCATTTTCAGTTATCCCTGGGGTCTCATTATCATTATTTAACACACAAGACAGTTCTATGTTTATGTATGTTAAGTGGTAACTACACCACCTCTGTATTCTCAGGCACCAGAAAGTTTCTCTGGAGAGGATCTGCAAGACATCTTGGGGGGGAAAAGTGTACCTTCTTTTTTTCAAGTCTCTCTTAAATAAATCAGCGTGACACAAAATTTCTGTAAGACAGCAGGATTTTTTCACCCTTTCCCATTTTGTCTCCCCTGTGAAGTGAGAGTCCTCAGCTGTCACTGTGGCGATAACTACAGAACCAACAGGAATTTGGCTGGACAAACAACACCAGGTTAGAGTAACCTCCAACACATGCACATTCAGTCATACAGATAAAAAGGAAAAAGATACCAAAAATGGATGGGAAACGTTTTGAAAGTCAACCTTGTTTTTACTCTCAGAATTAGAAGCCCATCAAAAGCTCATTTTCGGTGCACGAAGTGGATGCCCAGGGAATGAGTTATCATCATATTTCCAAACCCCACTCTGATGTTCCAGTTGCATTTTAAAAAAGAACTGGGGAGGACACAGGGCTATTTGTGTGCTTTTAGTCCCCCGAAATAGAAAAAGAACAGGTTTGAGGCCCGAACATGATGTACTTCCCTGCCTTGAAAACTGCAGCATTTATCACCCGCCGCGTTTGTCACCGCAAAACAATAAAACTGCAGAAGTCTGGCGAACGTTCAAACCAGTAATGTGCGTTCAGAATTCACATGTGGAATCCATGGTCTGGGCCTACCAAGCTTTTTTAAAACCAAGTACAAAACGTCCTGGAGCGAGTTCCACCTTTGGCCTACACATGGAGCCATGCAGGGGCCCTTGACGCCACAGCCATGGGTCCCCAGAGAAGCCAATTAACTCCTACGCGCTAATTGCGGTGAGAGGCTGAGGAGCTGCAGGAGCTGTGCAGAGCTGAACTCCCAGCTGGAGCCAACAGCCCTTTGCTCAGGATCCCTCCCAGCACCCCACTGCCCCACTCAGTGGAGCAGCAGCTCTGCATCCCGCTCTGCCAGACATCAGCCTCAGTTACTGAGCCCAGGCAAGGCTGCCTCTGGAGCTCAGGCCATCACACACCTTTCTGGCACACGCCAGGGGACAAACGTGTTCAAAAATTTAAAAAAAATATCCTCAAATATGCCACGGTTGAAAAAAAATTCTCAAAAACCACTGTCAACTAAACAAAAGCAACTTTGACCACCAACTGAATTTGTATTTTAAATTAACTTTTTCTTTCCCTGAAGAAAACTCCTCCCTCTTCTTAGCATCAAATGATTAGTCCTTAAACTGAAGATCATGAATTAAATAAGAGAAACAGCCACCTCATTCTGAAGGGTTTTTTTCTATAAATTTTAGCTCAGAGAGGCCAAAGAGATCACAGAATTTAGAATTTTTGTTTTGTTAATTTCTCCAGTGTTTTCTGCCTTTTCAATGCTTCAGAGGTATCTATTTACATTGCATCCAGGCACAGCAAAACACCCCTTCACACTTCATTCAGACTCCAATTCAAGACAAATTCCCACAACAGGTCTTCTGTCCTTTCCTTAAGTGAAAGTCACTGATCTCTCCCACAATTTTACAGATCATTTCCAGATGAGTCAATTTTTACAGCCAAAACTATGAAAGTTCTTCATGTGAACTGCTCAAGATGCAGCCAGCACCCTGTGGCAGGGTGATCCTGCACTTATTCATGCCTCCATGTTGGGAAAATGCATCTCCAGTGATTCAGGCAATTGTCCCACTCCATATTCCTGCAGGACTGGTTCCCCTGATCCCCTACAATCAGTTCAACCAAGAGTCAACTCTTCCTTTCTTGACCATCAGTTGGGTTTGACTTCCACCACCCCCCTCTTACATTTAGGATAAACACACCACCCTAAAATAGAGAGAAAAAAAGCTGATGTAAGTGTGAATGACATGTCTTGCTCTGAAACTGAGAGGAGCAAACAGTCCTTTGAATTGGTTTATTTTAAGGCAGATTAGGTTCCTCCTCCTCCTCGCATGAGCAGCCAGCATCCTCCCATCCATCCATCCATCCATCCTTGTGCTCTGGCCCAGGCTCCAGGCACGTTCTCCCTCAGTGCCGGCACAAGAGATGAGCTCCAGCCCATCTCATTTACCAATGTCATTTGGAGGTGAACGCCCAGGAGTGAGGGAAAGCAGCTTTCCCCCTCTTGCAATCCTGCCTGCACCTTGTCTCCCTGCAAGGAACGGGATGAGCTCGCTGCTGGAGCAGCCAGGCACCGTGCCATGTGCAAGATGAGCTGTGCAGCACAGCATCTTCCACGGCTTTCCAGAACCTGCTCTTCAGAGCACGTGCCCATGGCTTTGTGCTCCTGTCCCTGGCTTTCCAGAACCTCCTCTTCAGACCATGTGCCCGTGGATCCATGCTCCTGTCCCTGGCTTTCCAGAACCTTCCCTTCAGACCACGTGCCCGTGGCTTCGTGCTCCTGTCTCTGGAGAGGCCTGCCAGCCTTGGCTTTGCCCAGGCCCCCATGGAGGGCTCCTGTCCGTACCACACCCTGCACAGGTTCCACCACCTTGCTGTTTTCCTTGACTCTCTCCAGTCTTCCTCAGTTTTCCATGGCCCGCTCTGCAGCCCGAGAAGATACCTCTGAGGCTGTTCCTTGGGAAAAGGGAAAGATGTGCTGCATCTTGCTGAACTGCTTCCCTCAGGAGTCCGGCAGCAGCAGGATGTGGTGGCTGAAGCACCAGGAGCGCTCCCTACCACAACTCCTGCTTCCAGGGCTCAGAGGTGTCCCCAGCCCAGGGAATGATGTCCTCCTGGACACAGCCTGTGTGTGAGAGCTTCCACCACACACATCAGAGGCCACCAGCTGGCCCTATCTGACAACCTCAGGACTTGCCACTAGGCCTCACAGCTCCTGGCATTTGTTACAGCTCAAAGTTTTGGGAAGAAAAGTATGAATCAACAGCATAGCAGAAAAGTATCATCATCCTTTCACAATGAACCCATATCTGAGGCCAAAACTCACAGATCAAACACTGTGATACAAATCATCGCTGAGCCAAAGCAGGGCAAGATTTATTAAGTAAAAAAGTCCTGAAGATCTATAAAAGGCAATTATTGCACTGATCAACACATTTTCATACACTTCTCTCATGTGACAGTGATGGCCAGGGCGCAGGACAGCACTGCCTCCCAGCTCAGGCTGCGGCAGCTGCCCAGAAGAGCTCACACAGCATTTCCAAGCCCTCCATGCTGCCAGCCTTGCCAACCCATGCCACCCATTCCAGAGGGGTGCTGCCATCCAGTGCACTCCCATTTCTACCTCTTCTGCTGATGAACTAAAGCCCATATTATGTAAAGCACATAAATCCAAGGATAAGTGACCTGCAAAACCCAGAGCTCAGATCCTGATCAATGGCTCCTAAACTCACTGCCAAAAAGCCCCATTTATTGCAAATGGGGCCCCTTCCCTGGGCATGAATCCCTCCTGGCAGACAGTGCAGGCTCTGGCTATTCCAACAGCACGGGGATTTATTCAGGCTGTGGACACAGCACTTTCCCACCAGGATTTCATAATTCTGACTGTGTTTCAGCACCTCAGACACAGCCAGTGCTGGGTTTTGTCTGCTGCTCAGGTCTCACTCTAGTCATCAAGAACCGACACTTGTGTTGAACACAGTTGTAAGAAAAAATAATTTGCTTAAAGAACTGCGTATTACCCCCATTATATAAAACACTTATAATGGAATATTTCCTTTACATAGCTCATTAACTGGCTTATCATTGTTCCTCCTAATTTATTTTCTGATTTTCCTATTGTTTAAGCAGTTGCATAAAATTTGGCTTCAGTCCCAGAAAGCCAAGGAATTCCACAGGACTATTCATATGGAGCCCTGCAGTCCTGTGGAAGCCCTGTGCAACCGTGGCTTCAGAGCTTTGAAAAATGACCCTTTCAAAGGCATGGCTGTGTCTGGGTGCTTATCTGTAACACGCAGTTTGCTCTCTGGGTGGGATCATCAATCTCCCTAGAGCACCAGCATGTTTGGGGCACTGCTACAGCCCCCACGCCTGGCCTGGATCTTTACTCCAGCAGGAGCAAAATTCTCATTTCTTCATTTTAGCACAGACCTTTGAATAATATCAGTTCATCAGTGATTAGTGTACAATGGATGAATTTCTAACCTTGACCAACCATTAGCAAGTATTGACATGAAACTGAAAAGGGACAAACCTCATGAAGGAGAAAACAGAAGAATCACTGATTTCTTTGCAGCATCTTTTTGCAGAACAAACACTTCAACTCTGACTTGTGGATTGTTCTATTACATTCTATATGCTACTCAAAATTTTCATTTTGTTTTAATTCATCAATACAACAGCCCTCCATTTAGAAGTGCCCTCCTCGCAGAACACAGCATGCAGATTTGGAATTCCAAATATATTTCCAGTTTTGACATTTCAATGCAAAAAAACATTTACTCTTGGCAAAGGATACCCTCTCGTTATCAGAAAAACACAAGCCTCAGAAACCCATTACTTGAAACAATACCACAATACTACTAAAACCATCAACATCTAAATCATTCTTGTTTGGTTTCTGCTGGATTTATTTCACTACAACTAACGAAATCCCAGCCCCATGGTGGGACAGTGATAAAGTGAAGGCATTGCAAAGGATTAAGTGGCTCCTACACGTACTGTAGCTCCCTTCCTGACGCGAGGGAAGCCCAGGAGCAGGTGCAGGAGCTGTGAGCCCAGGCAGCACCCATCCTCTGAGCTGGGTGCCTGCCCTGCCCCAGCACTCAGCAGCAGCAAGGCTGCCCCACTCACCTGCATGTTGAGCCAGAGGACAGCGAGAACTCAGGAGAGGATGATCTCTGCCATTGCCTCGAGCCAGGAGATTCATTCCTTTGGCCATCAGGAATTTCTGATTGGAGTGCTTGGGCTTTTCCAGCTGTGGGATCCTCTTCCCCAGGTTCTACCAAGTGGAACGACAGAGATGAGAATGAATGATAATGCAAAATACTATTGTTTAGGATTCTGCAGCCTAGAGATAAGATTTTCAAGAAAAAATTAAGTTATAAACATTTAAATACCAACATCTCATTCCCACATACTTATTTTCCAAAACTTTGACAGTTTCAAAGGTTGAATTTCTTTTCATGTATATTTAAAAAAAGAAACCAACCAAGAACTCCCTGAGAACCCGAAATGTTTCACTGTTGAGTTTCAAACACAAGGAGAGAAATAAAGGGTGAGGATGTGTTACACATTTCATAAGATGGAACTTAATTTCAGAAATTAGCAAGCACTTCATGAGTGCTGTTGGCTGCTTGTGCTTCAGGCCCTACATCAGACAGCTTGAGCTCTGAGTTTCACAGACCAAGTTAACAGGCTTATTTCCAGTTGTGATTTACTTCCTTATGCAGCTCAGACAAGGTCAGTGCACTGACATTTCCATTTCAACGGGAAAAATAATTTCTAGGCAACACAACAGGCAAAAATTGAAAACCCTTCCGCGGGTTTTTGTGTCAAGTGTTTCGTTCAATGAAAAGATGAACAGTTCTCTGAACAGAGACCTTCTGCCCCTCCAAAGAGAAAACAGACACAGGTTAAAAATTCCGGTATGAGAAGACAGACTGCCCTCATGCCATAGCCACAAACATTTGCAAGGGAGTTACTTCACTGAAAAACCCCTCAGGACACGAAGCCTCTGCACACCATCTCAGTGATCACTGATTCTGGCAGTCACAGACACCCCTGGCCCCAGCCCACGCTCAAACCACGCCGACCTCTCTGCCCCTCCAGCAATGGCTGGGACACAAATGGCCAAGCAGAACTTCAATTAGAGTGTGGAGGGGCTTCACAGTCTTTGGATTCAGCTCAGCTTGCCCTTTCTCTGCTGCTAACAGGCAAAATTAAATATCAGGGGCATATTTTTGTCTGCTGAAAACAACCAGCAGATCCCAGTGAGTCGGTTGTCCAACTAATGAAACACAACTCTGAAATTAGCAGGGTAAAAATAGCAAAGGCCTGTGCAATAATGCAGCTCAGCACAGTTAATATTTATTGAATCAAATTATTTAGCACCAATATATATCAAATCCTTATGGCGCCTTCCCCTTAGACAAAGCACAGCCCCATGTTTAAAAGTTATAAAGACTGGGAAACATATTTTAAACTTAAAGATGAAAAGCAAGATGACGTAAATCAGGAACAGATGATTAAAATGTCACCACAAACAGAGTGAGGTTAAATTACATCAACAGGAGAGGCAATAGGAGAGATGGAGGAGGAAATTAAAATAAACGAACAAACCAACAAAACCCCAACCAAACCAAAGATCTCTTTCAATTCTGTACAATTCCACCACTTCCACGAGAGCACAAAGCAAGTGGGTAAGGAATGCAGACAAAGCCTTGGCTTTACCAGCTTACCATCAGGCCATTACTGCCTTCTTCCTTGCCCATGCTGTAATTCCCAGTTTAATACAAAGGTAATTGCTGTTACAAGGAACCAAGAGCAAACAGGCCTTAGGCATCTGTTCCCTCCCCTGTAAATCACCTTTTTGCTTTTTCAGTTGTTTATAAACAGTCATCTGAGTGCAGATGTTTTGCATAAAACTGAAATTCCAAGGATTATTGGAAGCTCAGAGAACAAACTGTAATGGAAATTGTGCAGGTTTGCCAGAACCAAATGAGGTGCTGCACATTCTGAAAATTATGGAGAATGATACATCTGATTCATGAACAACAACAGATGAAAGACCATTTCTTTGGGAATCCAGCACTTCTTAGTGTGGTCCAAGAGGGGACAATATGAAATGTGACTGACCTGCAGCTGCTGGCAGCTCTTTGACAGCAACCTCCTCTTTGTTTTGAGCACTTTCTGCTTTCCTCTCACCCATTTTCTTCCACCGTTTATTTACTTGATCCACCAAGAACTTGAATTCACTTCTGTGTTTGTTTCCTGAAAGGAACAGAGCATCAGTGAGCACCCCCACAGGACTAAGGTATGGCACCAACACTGCAAGGATGTGAACAGAAATGGACACCAACAACTGAATTAAAAGCATTTTTGTTATGGCAGAGGAAAACCAACCCAGCACTGAGATATGTCCCACTTTCTATTAAGGATCCAAATCTGTGTCTGAGCTGTTACAGAGCTGCCCACAGCCCAGAGCCCAGCACAGATGAGCACTTCAGGCTCTGTGTCATGCCCATCACACTGCTGGGACTCAGATCCTTTAAGTAAGTTAATAATCCAAATACTCTCTGCACCTTCAATCACATTTTAAGCACTCCTCTGGTGCTCAGCCAAAGCAATGGAATTGTTTAAGCTCAGTGGTGCAAATGCTTTAGTGAGAGGCTGGGCAAATGCCCGGTGTCCTCAGCAGGATGCTGTGGGTCACCTCACTGAGCCCGGCCAGCAGGGAGGGACCCAGGGCCAGGGGGGGACAGCCAGGAGTGGCTCAGGGAACAGGGACAGGAGCAGAGGGAACAGCTCGGGCTGGGCTGGGCAGGGCCAGGCTGGACACCAGCAGGAACTGCTCCTCAGAAAGGACTGTCAAGCACCGTGTCACCTCCCTGAGCCGCCCACTCCAATGGCTGAGCACCCTTCCCTTCCATTTCATGAAGAAATGCTTTGATGTATTCCATTATAAAACATCAAGTTCTGCCCCACACAAGGAAACAGATTTGACACACAGTCCCTCTCCCTGAGTAGCTGAAAACACCACATAAGGCCAAAAATTCTGTTAATAAAAAGCAAGTTCTGTCCCAGATGTCGTGTCTGAGTTGCTGCACTCTCATTACGGAATTCCTCTGGCACTTCAGTTTTTCCAGCATCACTATCTTTTGTTGTGCTGGCTCATGGCAGAACTACAAAGCTTTCTGAAAAGAAATGTCCTGGCACACAAGCAGTGCTCAGCTACACTGTAAATCACTGTGGTGCTGAAACGACACCCCAAGCACATCCCACCAAACTGCAGCAACGTAAACCAGCCCCAGACAGAACGACAAATATTTAAACACAACACAGAGGAGCAGACCTCCAAAGAACATGGCAAATGAAAAGATTTAGAAGCAGAAAAGGCAACTAAATAATTTTTTTTTCACAGATGTATCCCCTTTCCTGTAGGCTTTTTAACTCTTTAAATAGAGACCACAAAAAAAGCAGAATGGGCTGAGGGTGTCCCTGAGTCCTGTGGGGCAGAAGGAAATGACAGTGGCTCTGAGTGCCAGGCAGAGCTCCCATCCTCAGGTTCATCAAGCCAAAGTATTAATTGCTATTTCATAAACAGCAAAAAAATGCCAACAGTGCAATGTACAAATTGCCAAGAGCCCGGGGAAATGCAAAGAAGCAGAAAAAAAGCGTTTTCTCCCAAACAGTTTGTTCTGCCTTTCCCCAAGGCTGTTCACAGCCCCAGTGTGTTTTTTCATATGGAAAAGCAGAACAAAAATATATTTGAGGGTTTTTATTCACAATTTACACCAGAGTTCATTTATTCATTCAGCTGGGAATTAGGGTCTGGAGGGTCTGGAGTGCAAATGCTGTAAAATAAGAGGAAAAAAAAAAGCTTCATTGTGTAATAAAGCTTTTTAAAGCTTTAAAGTCCATCTGTTTTACAGTGAAATAATGGCATTTGATAAGAATTCTTTAATCACAAACTGTTTTTGAATTTTAACATTCAGTTCTTTTTTCATGCTCATGATTTCTTCCTTATTATGAGAAATAATTACCTGAGACCATTTACCATTTGCCTCTTTGGTCAGTATTTTTTATTAATTTTAAAACCATATCTTCCCCTTTTTCCTGTTTTTTTTTAACTTCTCAATTTTCAGTTAACCTGCTTGAGACTATCAAGATCTCAAAGCGATTAGTCTTGTAGCCAGGCCCTTTTAGCAATCTAAACTCAATCAAATACCTGTCTTTGAAAAATTAAGACAGTATTTAATATATTTTGTTCTAAATGTGTACAACAGGCCAAGAAAACGAAGCCAGGAGCAGGAAGGCCTTTCAGAGCAGCTCTGCTGCAGAAGGTTCCCAGTGGCCACACAACTGCACATCCCACACCCTGCTCTGTTTCCATGGCCAGCAAACACGGCAGCACGCTAAGAAAGAACAAAGTGCATAAATAGAGAAGCCTCTGGAGGCAATCAGTGTGTGTATTTCAGCTCAAAGGAAAAGAACGGAGATTTAAAAGCAAAATGAAGTGAAATTTGCATGTTACTTACGATATTCAGTGTGGATCTCATCTATTTCTTCCTCTGTCTGGTCCTTTGTGAAGGTCAAGCTCTACAGAAGTCACACAAACGTTTTTAACATAAATAAAAACATATTAAAGCTGCAGACTTTGAAATTACAGACTTAAAACTGGAAGAAGAACTGTTTGTTTTCCCCCCCAGCTTTCAGTACCTCATCACATTAATCCACATTTCCAGAACATGTCCACAGTGTCCTGCCCTGCTTCCACCGAGTCACCAGGACCAAACAGCCCATGTAACACTCAGCATATTGTATAAATATAAAATATTCCTACCACTGTGCAACAAACAGGCTTCAGAAGTCACCAAAGTATCAGATGTCATGGGAAGAGAACAGGCGCCCTTGCCGATACGGAAGCATGGAATTTGCTAGCTAAATCCTAGAGAATTCTAGGAAGCAAAATATTCCCCACACTGCCATGAAGGGTCAAAATCTTCCAGCATGGCCAAGGAGAACTTAACTCAAGAATTTTTACTGCAGTCAAAAATTGCTCCTACTTAAAGGGTTTGGGCATAAAGCTCAGCAGTGCACCCAGGACTGCCACGACAAATGTGTGGTGTGAGAAAATCAGGTTCACTACAGGATGCTGAATGTGAATTCTAATATGCAAGCTGGGAATTCCCACAATAAAGCAAGAGGCAGACATTTCCAGTGCCCTCTCTGCAGTTTCTGCTGGCCACCCCTCTGTGAGAACCAAGAGCAGTCACTTACATTTTCACCAGGTTTATTACACTCTAGCTGAACCCGAATCTTCTCATTCTTTTCCAGCTCTTTAACAACCTCTGCAACTGTTTGGAAATACAAGAAAGGGATCGCTGAAACAGGAGCTGGGTAATAAAAAGCTGTAACAGCACAGATGAAGCTACCCTGCATTTAAAACACAAACAGCATTAGCTCTCTGAAAGGGAAAGCTCAGACTCCAATCCCAGGCAAACGTGCTGTCTTTCCCCATCCCACCAAACCTCCCTCCTGCACACAACAGTGCTTGTGGCACACAGGCTGCCATTCAGAGAGATTTTTCATTTTACACTGGATGTTTCACTGGAACACACAATAACTGCATCTACTGTTTATGTTACTTTGTCCCCCAAACCACCTTCCAGGGCAACAGAACCATGTGCAGACTCACGGGGAAAGCTCACAGAGGAATTACAACCAACTTCACCAATTGTCAGACACATCCAAAGCCTATAAACAACATAACTGTAACATTTAACTGGAGCCACAGCTATGCAGAACCCTGCACAGTTTACTTTGACATTTACTTCTACAAATCTCTTTCTGCATTTCATCATCTCCACAAAACTGCCAAGCAGCTGTGGGCAGTTAAAACAAACACTTCACCACACAGTGAAGCAGGCAGAAAAAAAGCTCATTAAGCTGTGAAAGAATAAAACCTGCTCCAAACTGGTTTAAGCACACTCCAGGAATTTGGCACCTGGGCTTCCTCAGAAGCTCAGCTATTGGTGTTCCACAGTGACCTCAGGCTCCCTGCCACCACCCAAAA